ATTATCAAACTCAGAACAGGAGATCTGTGAGGAAACATGGCCTACAGTCGGTGGTGCAGGGAGACAGCTAACAGAAAAAGCCATTCCTCCAACTTTAATCCAGGGAAAAGGAGGTGGCTTAGCAGGGGAAGCAAAACCTAGAATTTGTGCCCAGAGGTCAAATTTAAGGATACTATTTCTAACCAAAAAATATTTTAAAAATGTGTTTATTGATTTTTAGAGAAAGGGAGAGGGAGAGAGAGAAACATCCATCGGCTGCCTCCTGTACACTCCCTACTGGGGATCAAGCCCAAAACCCAGACCACGAATTGAACTGGTGCATGGGATGAAGCTCAGCTGAGCCATACAAGCCGGGCTAACCAAAACAGCTCTTGACAGAGTTCTAATATCATACTGCTTCTGAAAGTCCTATTTATAAGTTAGCCCAGGCTATCTGCCAGATTCTGATGAGAGCCATTTTCAAAAAAGGTAGAGGGGGTAAGTTTAGACAAAAAAAAGTTTTGATTTTATATGAATGTCTATATATTCATGATGCTTTAACTGGCAGGTCAGATTCTAGGAAATATCAAGCAAAAATAACATCAACTGAACTGAAACTTGTTTTGAGGATCGTCCTTGTCTCTGAAAGAGGAGTACCTGTGGAGATAGAATAATATGCAGGCTGTAGTTTGGGATATGTATTAGGGGTGGATTTAAAAAGTAAGCTTTAGCCCTAGCTGGTTTGGCTGAGTGGACAGAGTGTCGGCCTGCAGACTGAAGGGTCCCAGGTTTGATTCCAGTCAAGGGCACATACCCAGGTTACGGGCTCGGTCCCCAGTAAGGGGTGTGCAGGAGACAGACAATCAGTGATTCTCTCTCATCATTGATGTTTCTATCTCTCCCTTCCTCTCTGAAATCAATAAAAATATATTTTTTAAAAAAAGCTTTAAAGTGCATTCAGGACCAGGTAACCAAATCCAAACTTGAGCTTTCCATTAGGAGAGTCATATGTACAGTTAGTATTTATTGAGCTCCTATGGTGTTTTCTATTTGTCAGGATTCCTTGACTGAGAGCAAAAACCTAAGAACTAGCGGAAGGCCACCTTTTTTTTTTTTTTTTTTTTTTTTGCTGGTGGATTTGTTTTCAGTATTTAGGGCTGAGTGTGATTTTTAAAAAAATATATATTTTTTATTGATTTTTTACAGAGAGGAAGGGAGAGGGATAGTCAGAAACATCGATGAGAGAGAACATCAATTCAGCTGCCTCCTGCACACTCCCTACTGGGTATGTGCCTGCAACCTAGGTACATGTCCTTGACCGGAATCGAACCCGGGACCCTTGAGTCCTCAGGCCAACGCTCTATCCCAGGGGTCCTCAAACTTTTTAAACAGGGGGCCAGTTCACTGTCCCTCAGACCGTTGGGGGGCCGGACTATAGTTTAAAAAAAAACTATTAACAAATTCCTATGCACACTGCACATATCTTATTTTGAAGTAAAAAAACAAAACGGGAACAAATACAATATTTGTAATTGCATGTGGCCCGCGGGCCGTAGTTTGAGGATCTATCCACTGAGCCAAGCAGGCCAGGGCCTGATTGTGATTTTAAAGTAGCCCAGAACAGTTGTCTCTAATGACTAAGATATGCAAGGCTTACTTTTTGAAAGTGAGTATTGATCTTTTAATCAATCATTAAAGATATGAAGTGCACCAGAAGTCTATTGAAATAATCTAGATTATTTGCACATTTTATTTATTTTAAAAAAATATATTTTTATTGATTTTAGAGAGGAAGGGAGGAGATATAGAAACATCAATGATGAGAGAATCATTGATCGACTGCCTCCTGCACGCCCCACACTGGGGATTGAGCCTGCAACCCAGGCATGTGCCCTTGATCGGAATAGAACCCGGGACCTTCAGTCCGCAGGCCACGCTCTAGACACTGAGACAAACCGGCTAGGGCTATCTGCACATTTTAAACTTGGATCAAATGGTTGTAAGATGGAAAAGTATGTTTGTAAAGAGAAGTACAATGGAGTCAGGTTTCTAAGTGGAAGAAAAGGGTTCCTTTTACTTTTACTCCTTGAGAACTTCAGAGCCCATGGCTTAAGCTCTGGGTCCTGCACAACTGGGGAGCATTGCTGTAGGGAGGGCATGCTTGGCACACCCATTTCTCAGTCCATTCTTCAGACACAAGTTACTTTATTAAAACCCAATCTCTTATGTAGGAAGAATGCAGCTTGTCAGGCACTATAAATTGTTCCCACTCCCCTTTCTCTTCCAGCTCCAGGCCTGGTGGCGAGGAATTATAGTACGGAATGAAATTGGTTATTTCAAAATGCCTAGGAAGGATAAAGATGATGGCAAGAATTCAAAAGGTAAAGGTAGAGGCAAAGACAGACAGAGAAGCAAGAGATAATGACCAAGTATCTTCTGTCTTTTCCTCTGGCATTCTGAAGATGGGAAGGACTTGAAGGGAATAAGAAACATTATCATCAATAACTCATCTACAGGTAGTTTCTGATTTGGACATTCCCAGGTGCGGCCTGGTTATTTCACTTTGCCTATTATATCAGTTTTAAACCATGAAATTAAGATTATAGCATTGATTCAGGGCTTGTTCATATCTTGAAAATTTTTTGCTGGGAAGTCTTTGTAGGAGCCTTGTGAAGATTCCTCTTGCCCTTTCTTACCAGGAAAAAACTCAGGCTGTTAGGGGTAATGCATTAAAACTTCAGTAATTCCTGTAATACGTCTCTGATTCTGATTTTATTCAATTGGTCAATAGTGAAAATGCTCTATGAGCAAAAGTGAAGTGTTCAATAGGAATTACAAGATGATGTTTATAAAGTGTCCAGCATAATATACATATGTAGTGAAGTTTTATTAAAGGTTGGTTCCTTCCTGCCTTTTAGATTTATCATCACTTTAGTGTTTTTATTAGGGGCTGATGGTGGTTTAGCTTCAGCTCCTTTTCTGGGAAATAGGTAAGGATAATTTACATTTCCCAGAAATGATAGAAATGAGATAGCATAACCCAACCAGGTAAAGATGGGGGACACAGGTTCCCTGGAAGACTAGTTTGGAGATATTTTTGATAAGTGAGACACTAGGGTCTATACCAGCCGTGGGCAAACTACGGCCCGTTTGAAATGAATAAAACTAAAAAAAAAAAAAGACCGTACCCTTTTATGTAATGATGTTTACTTTGAATTTATATTAGTTCACACAAACACTCCATCCATGCTTTTGTTCCGGCCCTCTGGTCCAGTTTAAGAACCCATTGTGGCCCTCGAGTCAAAAAGTTTGCCCACCCCTGGTCTATACCTATTTTGCTTACTCAACAATTCTCCCCTTAAGGGGTATTAAGACTAAGAGACAAAGCATGTGAAAACACCTAACCTGTGCCTGCAACATTAAGCTGATTGTTGGTCATCCTCCCTCTTCCCTAAAAAAGAATGAGCCCGCTGCGTCATTCATGTTTTGCTTAATCAAAATAGAATGTCTTGGGATGCTAAAGCTTTTCCAATGGCACAACCGGTAGTTTCTGAGAGAAAAAATTGTCTCAAAGAGTCACATATATTTCATGTGTTAATAAACAAACCTTATATCCAAGTCCAAACACAGGGCACTACTGATTTCCATGCTTCCTCTTTACAGCACATTCTGATCTCCAGGGCCATTATGAGAACCCAGCTTCTCCTGACCTGACATTCCTTCGGGAAATTAGATACGCTTTCATTTTTGCCAAGGAAACCATGCTTTAGATAAGAACATTTTCAATCAGCCTTTATCTCATGCTATTGAAGTGTTGGTTTTTATTTTAATGTGGAAGTGTAAGGTGGCATACAGGCAATTTAAAATAACATACATGATATCGACATATTTATAGTTAGAACTTACGCATCATATTTACAGACATACAAATATAGGACAACATTTCACAAATTCTTTTACTAATTACATGTTTACAACATTTTCAGAAATAAAATCTGCTGTAAACCATCTCACTGCAATATGTATATAAAAAACCTTCAAAATATCCATGTTTTCCTTCATTTCTATAACCATTTAAGTGCTTCGTTTTTAAAAATTCATCACACTCATCAGCATAGGCACATCATTCGTCACTGCTGAGCTATAGCAAGTAAGAGAAATCAGATTCCTTGATTGGCTGTAAGACTGTATTTTTATAAAGAAAAGTGACCTACTAGTAAGTCTCCTCCTCCTACGAGTTGTTTCCAGAGAAAAATGGTTTGGAGTGCCGAGCATTTATGAGTTTGAAAGTCCAGAAACCCGCTGACTTACAATCTCTGTAGTTGGCAGGGCCCAGGTGGGTGGGCACAGCCTTTTCTTCCTTCACACTTCAGCACTGGGAAGGTTGCTGCTTCAATAGGAAGTTCATAAATAAACGGTTAGGTGGGACTGTTACAAAGTCATCTTCATTAGTATCTGGCAAGGCTAAATGTTAAACCGTATTTTTCAGTTAAAAAAACAAAGGTACAACTTAAAAAATTGCACATTACTATAAAGCAACAGAATTTTGTGACATATAAATTTTACCTCAATAAGGCTTAAAATAAAAAGCAAAAACAAACCCAAAGGTACAAATAAAATACTGAATACAAATAATTTTCAACAAAAAAAATCATGATTTGTTTTCTCATCTTGACACAGAAAAGAAATTCAATACATTTGATATTTTCCTTTCATTATCAACCAAAACTGTACAATTTTTTTTCTATCAATTCAAATGTAAAATTTGATAAAAATACATTAACAGGTTTCATGCTATGTGTAAAATTTGAAATAAATTAAAATTTCCATTTATTCCTCTGGGAAAATTAGTTGCAAATGTTCCGAATGTTGCATTAGGTATGTCTTCTGGGATTATTCCTTGCATAATATGTGACAGAGAGTCCTGTCCTTTGCTGAGTTTCATTCAAATGGCTCGCTATAATTTGGAAGTAGTACTGAGGTTTAACGTTGACTAGAAGGAAAAATACCTATAGTTTAAAAATACATGTAACTAAATTCTAAACAAGTCACATGATTGGTGGGTGTGTTTGGAACTGTTAATGGGTCTGGCTCTAAGCACTTAAGAGACATTTTACTTTTGTTCTGTGAGGACCCTAAGCATTGGGCTTTGAGTGCAGATGATCTGTGTTATATAATTTTAAACTAGGACTAGTGGTAATGTTCTGATGAACTTGTTTCCTTATGAGAACAGTAGAAAACACTGATTTATCAGATACTAAACATTATTTTATCCAAAGTTACTTTTAGGTGCTGCGTTTACATGATAAAAAGAGTGAGAACATTATGCTCAAATGCATGCATTGGTAAAGAAAACCCAGAACAGTCAACAACAGAAAAAAAAACCTAGATAATTAGTATTTTCACTTATGCTATTTACTTGGTTTATAAAGACAGTGACCAAAACATACCACCGACAACTAAAAAGGGTTCAAAATATAGAGGAAGAAAGACTCAGGAGGGTTAAACTCCCTCCAGAGGCTTAGATAGCGGCCCCTGGCTTTGTGCTGCAGAGACCTCGGGCCCTTCCATTCCACACAATTGGGGGAACAGGCACTAGTGGCGGAGTGGGATGAAAAGGCAGCCAGCTGTTTTTAAGATGCCGCAAGCGCTTTAGTTCAGCCACTGGAACTGACAGTTACCTGAAAGAAAGAGAAGACTCTTGGCTGTTCCCTTATTCCTTCTGCTTTGTTTTCATGGTCTTCCGTTAGCCGGGGAGCTGGAAGTGTACTGCTGTGACTGGAAGGTGTTGGCAGGCCCAGGTATTCTGGGCGCAGCATGGGGGCTGAAGGGGGGGGGGGGGGGCTCAAGGAAGTCAAAGCAAATGCTGCGTAGCGCAGGTTACTGGCCTGAGGATTTGGAACAGTCCAGGGCCTAGGACACTGGCCTTAAATACAACTTTGTTCCATTGTTTTACTATACAAAATCTAGGCCTTGTACATATTTTTGTTTTGCCTTGGACAAAAAGTCCAAGTAGTCATCATATAGCTTTTGATTTTAAATGTGGCTGAAAAACAGTGGAGTCATTACTTCCCCCAATCATACAAATATCTAGCTTGGAACGGTTGTCTCTATTACATGAAATACCTGGAATGTTTGTTGAAAATGCAAATACCCAGGCCGTACTAGACTCTACTGAATAGGACCTGTATGTTAACAAATGCTCCAGGAGACTCTACTGAACAACCACATTTAGAAACCAGTGCGCTAGACGTCTTGGGAACAGGTAAGGTAACAGCCTGTCTGTGCCTTCAGGAGAGCGAACTATCCTCTGAGCTCTCTGGTGTGCGGGGAAACCCTTCGCTCCAGGAAAGCACAGCCAGGTTAGGCGTCAGTGTTGGTTCTCAGCAATGACAGGATTACGTTTCATTTGTGAAAACCAACCGGGTCTTCAAAAACAATTCAATGGAAATGGATATAACCTCCCCTAAAATGGAGAAATGAAGCAAAATATTCCTGTTAGGAATCATGGAAACAGTCCCTTTTAAGAACATGTTAGAGCTCTGTTTAAGCAGATGGCTGGCAGCGTGATGGTGTTGTCCTGTTCCGTTTTGGCCAGGCAATACCCGGAGTGCTGGGAGTCCTTAAACAGCAGATAACTGGTGCTGCTGCTGCTTGGGTGGGGCGAGTGCCAGGAGAGCCTGGACCGTCACTGCAACCTGGCTCAAACCTTTCTCTTCTAAAATGTGGAGAGGCAAACATAATTGCTCCTGAAATGGGAAAACGTGACATAAAAACAAACACAAAAGAAAGTAGGATGAACATCACAGAACTGAAAAGAAAAAAAAATAAGCATCTCTTCTCTAATAATAATAATCAACTGAGATGTGAAAAGTCAGTACCTGGGAAAATGACCTCTGTTAATATGAGGTACACAGAGATGATATCTGACACTATCACTTTATTAACACAACTAACAGTACATAAGATTGTTTTGCAAAATGGAAAATGGACATGTTACATACACTTACACAAACAACAGGATAAGCAGAATACTATGGAGTGAAAGCAACATCTTTATCTCTGATAAATAAAAGAGCAATGCAAATTAGTCAAACCAGGCAGGTGAAAGAGAAAAGATTACAAGTTATACCAGATGGCTTAGCCTGTAGGAGAAAGCACTTTGGACATCACACACACTAGGAATGCGAGATTATTGATGCCATCACTCAGGCTGCACTAGAGGGATGCCTCCTCTCTGCATTACAGTCCTGATTGTGAAAACCAGGGCTTTCATACCAGGCAGGGATTATGGGAAGAAACTGGACAGAAAGTGGAATTCTGGTTTCATTAAAAAGAAATTATACATACTTATTAAAAAAGATAACTGAACTTTTCTCAGCTTTTCATTAGCACTTACTATATTAGGAAGTTTTACAAAGTCAGTTGCAATAAAAAATATAGCAAGTATTTATTTTGAGCAATTATTGGTCCTTATATGCTTCCTTTTAAAAAAATACTTACCCGATAAAAAAGAAAAAGGTAACTGCAATCTTTTGCTCTTTTAAATGATCAACTTTGTATAAATACTTTGAGTACAACTGCATGTATAGGCTATCTATACTTAAAATGAACTTTCAGGGTTTTGCTCTTGGCAGAGACCTAGTCTCTCTGAGGCCAGTTCCCTGATCTCTTCTCTGAGTGCCCTGTGGCCTGTGCGCCATGTGACTGACACATGTCCTCAGAGGCTATGCTTTCCAGATGCACAGTTACCTTCCAGCTGGCCCAGAGAACCCATGTGTTCCGAAAAGAATGCACAATTACGCCCTTCAAACCACACATGAGACAATGTGTTTTTTATCAGGTATTTTTTCAAAAGGACAAAATTCCACAGAACTGAATGATCTCTGACTCAGAAACATCTGACACTTCCCCTCCCCCAAACTCTGGAAGGCACTACTACTATTTAAACTAAAGTTTCCAACACAGTGTTCAATGTTTCAGCACCAACAGTAAACAGTTTTAAATGTTGTAAGTAACTGTCTCATTTAATATAGAAGAAACTGAAAGCAATCAAACCTCCAGGCTGACTTCTACAGGATGTTCTAAAACGACTCTATTCATTGCCTTGGGTACAGAACAGAGACTGCTGCCTAATACTTTACCTACTGTTCAGATACAATCTCCTCAACAGCCTATAAATACAAGTTCACTTAGTAAGATGGTTCAAATGGTATTGGGAATTACATAAATTCTGATTTTAAATTCTCAATAGGATTCTAGAAATGAAGCTCAATTAAAGATAAACACATAGTAAATCTGGACAGCTGCCTACCCCTGCAAAGTCAGCTCTAGATCACTTGCTTGTTGTGTACTGTTTAAAATGTATACACTAGGCTCAGAATAGCAATCTAGAGAAGCTACATGATTTTGGACTGACCATGCTGATCAAATTAAAATTATTAAGGTTAAATAACTAGTGCCTTCCAGATGCCCAGACAGCCAAAGGGAGACTTCAGGGCACAGTTCAGTGCAGAGATTTAAGTGAGCACAGGCCCTACAAACCAGAAAGGGCACAGCTATTTTCCGTATGAGCATCCGTTGAAGAGGTTCGGCAACTCACAATTTCAACACTGAAAAGTGTGTCAGGCACGGAAAACAGCCTGATGGGAATGTTATTATGTCCTTTGGAACTAGAGTTCTTAGTCATATTCTAAGACAGGCTCAAGACTGTGTTAGTAGAAACACTTCAGCACTTAACAGAAACAAGGCCACAGGCCAGGAGAATGGATGAATAACCAGGAGAAAAAATGCTGGTCTTTTACTCTGTGTTAGTCTCCATAAACGCTTACTGACTAACGCGATGGGCTGCTCATCTGGACATATGAGGAAAGGATTTATCTACTTTAGGGGTTAATTCTTCGATGGCCAGGAAAATAAAAGCACATATGTAAATATTTCTGAATGAGAAACAAACCTCCTTGACCAAGCCCAGGAATGAGGTGAAAAACCACTGGCATGCAATCTTCCAGCTAGAGGGGGAAGGTCCAGTAATAAAGCATACAGAGAGTTAACAATAAAATACAATAAAATGCCACAAAACCCAAAAGGTGGATAGACAGACAGACAAAACTGGATTCTTCTGAATGTGCCCCAAGAGAAAGTAGTGTTTCAACCGTTCTTTTAACGCTGAGGTTTAGCTGAAGGATGTCAGAAGGGGAACAAAGATTGTCCTGTCCAAAGTGTGAGCAGGAAAGGAAACAGAAAAACAAAGTCAGTGGATTGGAAATACAAATTTGAGTATAGAATTCAATATGATCATCTCACAATCATTCTCACGGAAACACATCTAACATTTTTTATTATGACGAATGAAAAAAAATGCTGAAAAACAAAGCTACAAAGACACCTCTGTGTGCTGAGTTTGATTTTACTACAAAATAGCAGAATAAAATTGGCTGGAATGGTGAATGGTGTGAACATTCAGGATACAATGAACAGCACTGGCTGCTGGCTGAGGGAGGCCTGAGAGCAGTGAGGGCTTTGTGAGGGAACCTCTTTCTCAGATCTCATTCTTCCTCAGTAACAAACAAAAAAAAATAGGTTTCTCAGAAAACATGGACAAAACCTGGGAGCAGGCTGAGGAGAGAGAAGTTTTCAGAGAAAGCCAGGTAAATTGAGAAGGTTCAAAAAGGAGGAAAGCCTAATAATTAGAGAAATTCACTAGCTGGTCAGGTATACTGGATGATTTGGTGTTCCTCTAAAACCAAGGCAAGCCCATTTTAATCAAGTCTTCACTAATATGTGCAAAATGAAGCTACACCACAAAGGTCTCAGAGATTACCCAAACCCTCCAGTTCATAGATGAAGAAATTAAATAAGTAAATATATCATTGGACGTGATAGCAAGAAAATACTCAACACATAACATATAATAATTTTAGTACACAAGATATTGAACTCACATAGAAATTTTTATCACCCACTAGTTTTTCAAATGTAACATATCTAATAAAAGCAAAGTAATAAAAAGAATACCCACATGCCCAATCTTATCAGAAGTTTTTAATAGTCACCTTATTCTTTTTAAAAAATATATATTTTATTGATTTTTTACAGAGAGGAAGGGAGAGGGATAGAGAGTTATAAACATTGATGGGAGAGAAACATCGATCAGCTGCCTCCTGCACACCCCTACTGGGATGTGCCTGCTACCAAGGTACATGTCCTTGACTGGAATCGAACCTGGGACCCTTCAGTCCACAGGCCGACGCTCTATCCACTGAGCCAAACCGGTTAGGGCATAGTCACCTTATTCTTTAATATTTTATTCATAACTTACCTTGTAAACACTTAAAATTATATTGAGAAGGGAAATTGCCTTTTATACATAGAATCTGATATTAATATTTATAATATTAAGTTTTACATTATACAATTTCAAAGGTGATCATTTTTACATCCCCAATTTTCTTTACAAGTCAAACAGATAAATGGGGATGTGCAGTAATTCAGAGCGCCCAGAAGCAGGGGAAACCGAGGAAGAGGAGGAGGCAAAGGCTTTCTCTTTCCTTCTTAACAGAAGGACCTGAGAATGCTAGTTTGAACCTATGAGTTTGTATATTCATTCATTTTCCTTCACTTTGTTCTAAGCAAATGACTCATTTTTTTTTTTTTTTAGCAGAAGTTGCAGCATAACAGGAACCCATCTAAAAGTGGTGGTGGTGGTGGCAGTGGTGGTAGAGAGGAGAGGCAGAGGAGAGGAAGAGGTGGCCTATGTGGAATGTCCATTTCCCCCTTCAGGTGGGGAAGTGAGGGAGAGGAAGGGTATGTTAAGAAACCCTTTCTAACCATCCAGTATTTTAAAATTATACTGCTTTCTACCTCCTGACTTCAAATAGCACAGTTCTGGTATGAATAGGGACAACCTGGCCCACAATAAATACTATTCACTGCTTGGCAAATGCTGAATTAAATGCATGCTTTAAGGCACTCTGTATTTCGCTGATTGCAGGTACATTCTGAAGAATTTCAGTGTGTGCACTTTAAATTTGAGGTAGATGATGGTTCCATAAAGCCCAGAATACATGTCCCATGACTATAAACACTGGTAAACACAGTATTTTCAACAGGCTTGACATAGGTTAATTCTACTAACATGTCTTGCTGTTTAGGGCTGTTTTCCGCATTCCTCTATGTATGCTCTCTTTAATCACTCATATCTTTTCTCTGGTTGCCATTCCCTGTGCCAACCCATGACATTCTTTTGTTCAGGACATGATGGTATGTAAGCGGGCAGGTACTGGGCATGCTTGTGTAATGTGATGACCAGGTAGGAACATATTCAGTAGACAAAAAGGAAGCACTGAATGTTAATGTGAACATCTGAGTATTAGAACCTGCTTGTTAATATGGAGAAAATGCATGCTATTCGTTTAGAAAACTTATTAATACATTAAAAAAAGGTTTGTTCTATGAGGTGATGAGCCTTTAGGAAACTATGATATGAAAATGGAAAAAAATTTTGAATTTGTTCATATAGCAACTAAAGGTCCTTGCTAACTACCACCAAACATATTTCAATTCTTTCATTTTATAATTCTTAAAAAATAAACACAAAAGAAAAAAGTGAAAAATACATAGTAGAATCACGATCTACTTAATAAAAGGAGGAAAAAACACATTGACTAATGCAGACACTCTATGGAGCTGAGCTCTTTCTCTTCCACTTTGCAACATGTGAAAGAGCTGAAAGAGAAAACTGCTCGTTGGACAAGTGATGCTGAACCCTTCGCAAGTCATGGCTAGTGAAGAGACAGGAATGGTGAGCTGGGTAAAAAAAGAGTCACTGTTGTGAAAGCTATTAGGACAAGGGCTTAACTTCAAGAAAAAGAGTGGATCGTTGAGTCCGGGGGCCAATACTGGGTTTCTGATTAAGAAGATAGAAGAATCACGTTTTTCTCCTTGAAGGAGAAAATGATGACAGGAACTGTAATGACTGTGGTTAATGAAAAAAACGTATAAAATGTTACCAAGTTGTTTATTTCTATAAATTTAATTTCATTAAATATTAATTTCTTTTTTATA